GCAGTGAATTCCAAGTGTTAATCACTCTTTGGGTGACATCGATGGATGACATTTTGCCTCACCCGTCCGCCCCCCCCCCAAGCCGTAGAGTGCTGGCAGGGGAAGCAGAGAGCCTGATGGAGTTTTCCCGCCAACAGCAGACAAATGACAAGCCTAGAAACTGGTCATCTGACACCAACGATCATCATTCCTTAAAAAGGCCTGAACCAAATGGTTCTTGAGGCCCCGGGGTATTGGCTCTGCTACCAGTGGTCCTGTAGGGCAAAAACCTGTCAGAAAATTCTGGCAGGTGTTTTGATAGTTCCACACACATTCGCTTCAAGCTTTTATTGCTTTGGCAAACACTGTCTGATTGATCCCTTGGAAGCAATCCAGCCCTCCAGACTAGAATCACTATCGGGAGGGGTGAGTTGGCCCTCGTCTACACATGTACAGAAATGTTCTTTTTATTGGTGGAGCAGCTTCGTCAGACCACATCCCTGCTAGAGATGAGCCAAAAAGAACTCACTGTTTTCTGTGAATGTTTCCTACAGCATCAGAAACCACCTCCCCCCAATTAATTTTTGATTGTTGTTGTTCAGTCGCACAGTCGAGTCCGACTCTTCGCGACCCCATGGACCATCTCCCGCCAGGCTCTCCTGTCTTCCGCCGTCCTCCGAAGTTGGCTCAATTTCATGTTCGTTGCATCGCTGACACTGTCTAACCATCTCATCCTTTGCCGTCCCCGTCTTCTTTGACCTTCAATCTTTCCCAGCATCAGGGTCTTTTCCAGTGAGTGCTCCCTTCTCATTTGGTGGCCAAAGTATTTGAGCTTCAGTTTCATTATCTGGCCTTCCAGGGAACAGTCAGGGTTGATTTCTTTGAGGATTGACTGATTTGTTCTTCTTGCAGTCCAAGGGACTCTCAAGAGTCTTCTCCAGCACCAAATGTTGGCTGGCGGTAACTGTTAGAAACTGCTGTCCGATTCTGTAAGCACTGCCTTTCACAATAGAATTTCTTTGGCCTCAGTGACATCACCACATAGGCAAAAACATATTGGCTGTATGGCACTGTATTGTCATCCCAATAACAACACGATCCCTGATTGGCTGGAAGCCGACATGTGAGTAATCCAGGAAAGTGAAAGAAGCCATAAGTAGGCAAAAATGGGTTTGAAGCAGCAGCGGCAGCGGCCAGGGGTAACAATGGCACTGAACAGGATGTAAAACAATTAAGATTCTCACAACAAAAACATTTTTTTTCAAGACCGTCTTATAATATACTTTTCTTCAATAAGAAACTGCCTGAAAATTGATGTACAGGAGAATATTGGATGCGGCCCTGATCTCAGGGTTTTTTTTAAATCATGGGGAGTTTCAACACCTGATAAAAAGGTGCAAGATTACTGTGAATGTGTGCATGTATGTACTTGTGTGCCAAAAACAGAAAACAGTTCTGCTGGCGCACATGCACACACACAAAATCCTTAAGAGTGGGAGTAAAGGGCTCTTTGTGTCCTATGGCTTGGATCCTATGGATGTGTTCATACGCTGTAGACCAGTGGTCCCCTTTTTGGTATGGTGAGCCACTTGAAAAAAACAGAGCTTGTACAAATCAATAAAACTACACAAGCCTGGGACACACTTTCACAGGCCCACTTTTGGGTCAGACCCCACAGGACTGGAAATGCTCCTTTCGACAATCTCTGGTGCACAGCACACTTCTTCCACTAGCACTTCCATTGGCCTGATGGCTTGTCGAAAGAAACACTGATCTTGTGCTCAGTGCAAATAAAACACTAGTGGAAAAGGAAGCATACTGTGCAGCAGAGGCTGTTCAGTGTACAGAATGGCTTCACAGGATTCATGCGTCCATTGCTTTTTTTTTTTTTTTTGGTATTCTTCGTATGTGCACGTGTGTGTGTGTGTGAACCTGGAAGTCATGGCGACCTCTGGCATCTGACTCCTGCTGGGGGCCTGGAGGATATTCAGAGAGGTGGCTGAATAAAGCCTGCCCCTACCTCTGTTATTCCTTGGAGGTCTCCCATCCAAGTTCTCGCCAGAGTCAACCCTGCTTAGCTTCTGAGATCTGTTGAGATCAGGCTTGCCTGGACTATCCAGGTCAGGGCATGTGTCTCGGTCTTTTTGTGGTTTTCTTATGACAACCAAAACCCTGCCCTTGCAAGGCCCTTAGTGTATATGCCACTCATTACTGAACAGGCTTACAAAAGACGGTGACTCACCCTGGGCAAAAATGCAAGGAATGCTTTGTCATAAATGATTAAGACCCAGTTCTTGCAAATGATGCAAAGATCACAGTTACAACAATGATGACTGAACACAACTCACAGGCAGCCAGTGCCCCATGTCCCACCACAACACTAAGCAAAGTCTGAAGCCTTCCTCAAGCTTAATGAAGCTTTTTCCAAAGAAAGAGCCTCTTAAGTTGAAGAATGATCCTGAGGCTGTAGCAATATCCTTCAGCCTAAGGTCAGATATCATTTGCTGCCAGTGGACCGCAATCTCACAACTCACACACCACACAAGAGAACATGTTGCATTTTAACAACTCATCGACAGATGCTGTGTTAGGAAACAACCTTACCAGCTGATGTGGTGGTGGAACAGGATACTGCATTCCTTCAATCGGTTGACTTTTCAGCATCTTCTGGAGCATTATCTTTTGCTGTAAAGCTAAGGGTACGTTGGGGGGCCTTTGAAGAGGCTGGCTTTGGACAGTTTGGGCGGGTTGTTGCTGCTGTTGCGTCTGCAGTGCTTGTTGCTGCTGTTGCTGCTGTTGCTGCTGCTGCGTCTGCGGTTGTACAGCTGCTGAGTTAGGCTGCTGCTGTTGGGCCGCTTGCTGCGTATAGTGCAGAATGGTAGGCTTGTTCTGGGCGCCCAAAACAGAAGGCATCTGCTGGTTGGATTGCTCTGAGTTAAAATGGAACAAGGGCTTTATGTTGGTCTGAGACTCTTCCAGCGGCAGCTGGGTGTTGCCCATGTAACCTCGGTTGATCTCCTGAGCCTTCCGTTGCATTACGATGTTGATGGAGCTTCCCTGGGGCACGGAGTTCGCCCTGTAGATGTAGCTGTTCATCCCCTTCGACTGATTCCCGTTTACTGGGACTCCGGGCATCCCAGGACTTTGTGAGCTGAACTGCTGCTGATGGAAAGGAGAGTTCGGCATCTTCTCCTGGACAAACGGTCCAGGGGAAGGTTCTGTGGATGGCAACGTGGGCCAGGTGGACGGCTGGTTTTGCTGGCATTGCTGAATCAAGGCATGCTGCTGTCGGTTGGCAGCTATTTGTTTCAGTTGCTGGGCGTGAGAAACTTCTTGCCAGCTGGGCATGGGTCGGTTGGAGATTGAGGACATCTGAGATGGAGGTGTCTGATTCTGGGGTGTCGAAGGAATTGGTGACGAGGCAGACAAGGCAGCACTGGACATCGTGAAGGCTGGGCCCGTGGAGGAAGGTCTCATCTGGGGTGATCCCACAGAGCCTTGGTTCATAGCTGGGGAGTATTCTTGCTTGATGACCATTTTGTCCATCTGCAGTGAAGAAGATCTGGCGGGGGGCGCTCTCTGGACCTGCTGCCCAAGGTCAATATTAAACGGTCCGTCTTGCTTGATAGTTGCGTTGATCATATTCTCCAGTTCAAGATCGCTCATGGGAGGCACTGAAATATTAGTCAGTTCGTTGAACAGCTCCTGAAGTTCTGGGTCCATCAGTTGTTCTCCTGTGTCTTCTCCATACCTGTTAGGGAAAGCCTGTGATGGCTGACTATCCAGATGTTTGCTACAAGAGAAGGTTTCCCCTGGTTCTTTCTTGACTTCTTTTAGAGCCATGTTAAACATCCCATTTGCATTTGCATGGGCATTGTTCGTCGGGCTGCTGACTTTCCTTTGAGAACTTTGCCCGACTGTCAAACTTCCCAACAGTGATTGGTTCGGGCAGTTGTTACCACAGTGTCCACTTTGTGCTGCAGAAAGATTGTTGTCTCCCACTCGGACCCTCTTGATGTCAAGGAAGGGGCTATCAACAATGCCGTTGGATCTCTTGTTGATGGCTGGCGAAAGATTTACCACCAGTTTTCTCTTCAAGGAACCCTGAAGCTGAAAAAAGCAAAAAATAAATAAAAGATCTTTAGTAGGCATTCAAAATATCAACATAATGAGTGCAACGGGACATTGGTTCTTGCACAGTGCCTATAACCTGTGTGCATTAATTCACAAATTTCTGTCCACTACAGACATTTGAAGGGCCATGGGTCAGTGGCAGAACAGCTGCTTTTGTATGCAGAAGGAATTGGGTTCGATTCCTGGCATCTGATGTTAAAAGGATCGAGTAGTAGGTCATGGGAAAGACCTCAACCTGAGACCCTGGAGAGCCACTGCCAGTCCGAGCAGACAGCCCTGACCTTGAGGCTCACTTAGCGTAAAGCAGTTTCATGTGATCAAAAGCATCTTCTATTAATAGTGCCCAGCAATGGAATATTAGGCTGCGATCACATGCACAATTAGACCCGACATAGGCGCGAATGCCAGGCGGATTTAAAGGGAGCGATCAGATAACGTCTGGGAAGTGCCCCGCAGCCGTTGGCAACCTGTTCTGCTCTGCTGCAGAAGTGGAGTTAAAAGACACTGGGGAAAATCCATTAGTCAAACGGGTTGCAACGGGCCACGGATGGACCTTCCCCTGTCTGATCGCTCCAGCGCGCTCTCATGCTGTCGGGATGGTCTGATCAGGCCATCCCGACTCCATGCCATTGTTTCCTCCCCCCTTTGCCGTATGCGCATCATCGCAAACTCCATAGGGAGCCCTCAGTGCGGAGGTGTGATTGATTGATTCCTCATCTAAGCGCATGGGAAACAAAGAGCACACACAAAAAGACTCAGGCACAGTTGCATTTGATCACACACTGACGGGCTGCACCTGCAGCTTCAAAGGGAGGTGTGATCTCGCAAACCGGGTCAAATTCCTCCGGAGGAAATAGCCTCGCTCCCCCCCCCCCCGCCATTTTATCTGGCGTGCGTGACCCCACCCTTAGTTTTTCTTACTGAGTACTAGACGCTGGCAATCCATCTACAAGTCTCTTATATTGCTCTTGTGCTTCCCAGTTATCTGAAAAGCCATGTATTTTTATTTGCAGCATATTGTACTCACATATCCATACAATTATGCAGCTGCACATCCAGGCAAACACACCCTACAAAGCCCCACTAACATAATGCTTAATTGCCCATAGAACTTTCTTAACACACACACACACACACACACACACACACACACACACACATTTTCCCACCTTCTTTGCAGCAGCCCTCCCACCTTCAGACTGAGATATAACCACCCAGAGAGATCCATTCCTACTTGCAGGGCTATTTTGGGGCAGGAACGCACAGGAACGGAGTTCCGGCTGGCTCCTGAGTTGGCCACGCCCAGCAGGAACTCATTAGCATAATAGGCCACACACAACAGCAGGAACTCATTAGGATTGGCTACATTAGGGGTGTGTGGCCTAACATGCAAAGGGGTTCCTGCTACAAAAAAGGCCCTGGGTTTTGACAACAGACAAGGTAACCAGAATAAGAAGCAAAAGGTGGGTGTGGCTGGATGAGCACACTTCTGGTAACACGGGGGTGTGGCCTCATATGCTAATGACCTGTGCTGTCAGGGGTGTGGCCTAATAAGATAATACGTTTCTGCTGTTGGGTGTGGCCAATTATGGTAATGAGTTCCTGCTGGGCTTTTTCTACAAAAAAAGCCCTCCCTACTTGTATCTGACAAAGGGAGCTTTGACGCTCAAAAGCTCGTCCCCTGAAAATCTGGTTGGTCTCTAAGTTGCTCCCGGACTTGAATCTAGACCTTCTACGGTCTTGCTTCACAACTTGGCATAAGAACTGATAACCATTGCAAATGTCCTGCTTCCATACGCCTTCCAACAGCCTCTTCTATCCCTAGTCTCTTTGTGCTGAAATTTTAACTCCTTGGATTGTTCATGAATATTCCAAGAAACTCTAACAGCTGAGACAATGACTGGGGACGGACGGACAAAAGGCTATTTCCCCCCCATGAGATTTCCAGGTATCTGTGACATCATGGCAGCACAGTCGGATGTCTCAAAGACTTCATCCTCCATTTATCTCAGGTTCTGCCCCCTCTTTTTTATTTTGCGTTAGTGTGACTTTTTTGAAGCAAACTGGCAAGCCAATTAAAAAAACCCCAAATCTATATGCACTAGGCTTTAATTCAATCCCTCCGTCATCTCTCTAAGTCCCTGCAAGTCCTTCGAAATAGCATTCACAACACCCATGCGGGGAGACCGATGATATGATATTTTAACACGAAAAGACATGATGTAAGCTAAACTGGAGGGAATTTACTAAAGCAATTAAAAGTGCTCACTTTTGACTGCATCGTGGTATTTTCAACCACCTTTATACCACCTTAACGTTAACAATCCTTGTGCTATTTGTACCTCCTACAACCCTGTGACATGAATAATTATTTCTGCCATTTAGATACCAAGATTTGGTCAGAGATAAACAGCAACAGATAACGCTTAATGTTAGTGTGGTGTAGGGGACAGGTTGTTGCAAAGGTGAAGCCCCCACTCAACCATGAAGCTTACTTAGGTTGCCAACCTCCAGATGGGGACTGGAGATGTCCTGGAAGTACACCTCACCTCCAGACTACAGAGATCAGCTCCCATGGAGAAAGTGGCCGCTTCAGAAGGTGGACTCTATGGCATTGAGCCTCACAAGGTCCCTCCCCTCCCAAAACCCCACCCACCCACCCAAATCTGAAGAAGAAGAAGGAGGAGGAGGAAGAGGCAGAGGAGACTGGATTCATACCCCGCCCTTCACTACCCAAAGGAGTCTCCGAGCGGCTTACAATCTCCTTCCCTTCCTCTCCCCACAACAGACACCCTGTGAGGTAGGTGGGGCTGAGAGAGCTCTTTCGAGAACTGCCCTTCTCTAAGACAATTTGTGACTGACCCAAGGTCACACCAGCGGCTGAATGCGGAGAAATGGGGAATCAAACCCGGAATTTCCCAATTCGAAGTTGGCATCCCTAAAGCTTACCGAGTGCCCTTAGTACTTAGTTCTCTCTTAGCCTAGCTTGCCTTGCAGAACAGCTGTAATTGCCAGAGTCCTTGGGAGGAACACAGTTAAGACGATCTAACTATAAGGAAAGCCATATTATAGGGTTGCTAATTCTGGGTTGAGAAATCCTTGGGAGATCTGGGGTTGGAGCCTAGGAAGGGCAGCATTTGTGGAGGGGAAGGACCTTGGCAGGTATAATGACATACAATCCACACTCCAAAGCAGCCACTGCCTCCAAGGGAATGGATCTCTGTTGGAGTTCCGAGAGATCTTCAGACTCCATCTGGAGGCTGGCAGCCCTAAAAGATTCCATGCACTCTACCCTCAGCTTGCAACTCCAGTGCAAGTATATCAGTTATCCTAGACTTTTAGTTGATTGTGTCATTTTCTGTCTTTGATTTTTAAGGTTGTACATGCCATTAAAGGTTTATTGTTTGATTGGTATATCAGTTATCGGAGCTAAACTCTGTAAAATGTGAATGTTTATAGGCTATAACAAATGATTGGCTTGTTCCTCCTGCCATATGCTTTCCTTTTGCACAAACCTGGTAGAGACAGCACTTGCATCGTTTCCCCCAGTGATCTTTGCTCTCATTCTGCTCAACAGAAATTATGCTCCAAATTCTTCCTGTGGAAGAAGGAAGTCTCCAGGCAACAAAAGCCAGGTCTTGGCAGCACATTTTGCTCTTCTCGGTGTTTATTTCATTAATTTACTTTTAAAAAACTCGGTAGCACTTCCAGAATCCCTAGGGCTTGGAAGAAGTGAAAACGAGTATCTATTATCTGTCATGATTCCCAAGACAGTGATCTCCGTTCTGTCGCCACTGCTGCATCTCCCAGACCCAAGATGATCTTTTTGTTCCTCAGGTCATAAAAGCGATTTGAGAAAGTGCAATGACATCAGACATTTTAAAAACCCAGAGTATTTGCTTGGAGCTGGTGTGTGGATGTGTTAATAACAATAATGATCACATGTTATATCCATATGAACCAATTCCAAAGGTCAGACGAGTTTCAGAAGCCTATTTTGCTTCCAAGATCTCAGATAGGTCACAGGAGAAAGGACTATTTCTGTGGTGGCACCCCTAACTATGGAACCCCCTCCTCAGTTTGTTTGGTCCGACGGCGGTGACAGGAATGACTTCTTTTATATTACCTTTGTGGTGGATATTAGGAAAAACTTTTTTGCAGTCAGAGTTGTGCACCAGTGGAATCTGCTGTCAACGAGATCAGGCTTGCCTGGGCTATCCTGGTCAGGGCCTCTTCCCCCCACCCCAATTAATCTGTGAAGTAATAATAATAATAATAATGAGTTTAATAATAAGGGGGTGTCGAACTCATTTGTTATGAGGGTCGGATCTGACATAAATGAGACCTTGTTGGGCCGGGCCATGTGTATTGTAAAATGTAATGCTAGGTAGCGGAGATATAAACTTTATAAAGGACACATACACAAAGGGTTTTTTTTTTACTTTAAAACATGCTTAAAACATTAGCACTCTTGCAATATTTTGTTTATTTAACAGTGTCTGATAACTGACACCTATTGCTCTGAATTATTGCATCAAAATGTCTGTAAGCTGCGAACCTACAATGATGCAGCAGCAGCAGAACTGGAAGAAGCAGAAGATAGCCAATTCCACTGTGGGCCTGATAGAAGCCCTCTGGGGGCCTCATCCGGCCCCCGGGCCACATGTTTGACACCCCTGCTCTGGGCTGATCCTGCACTGAGCGGAGGTTGGACTAGATGACCTGTCTGGCCCCTTCCGACTCTGTGATTCTATGATTCTATGTTGATCATTGGTGGGATAAAAATCCCTGACACAGAAGTAAGTCAATCTTTGAATGGGTAGACATGACAATTATGTCACCCACCCTCTCTTCCTGCCTTTGTTTCTTGACATCTCTGTGATCTTACCCACACCACCTCCCGCTCTCTTAGGCAACTCGGCCCATTCACTATAGCTGCAACTGTTCTCTCTTTCTTCAAATTGCTTCATCAGCAG